ACGGTCTCATACTGGCTGATTTGGAACACCCTATACGAAGAAATACGATACTGTTACATTTTGAATTGGAAATGTACTTTGCAAATCAAATGCTTATTGCTGATTACTGTCATTAGTGTGGTGAATAAATATTTTTTTTTTTGTCTTTAAAGGGATAGTTCACCCAAAACTAAAAATGATGTCATAATTTACTCGCCCTCATGTCGTTCCAAAGTATGATTTACTCTCTTCTGTGGAACATAAAACAACATATTTTGAAAAAAATTGGCAGTCCAAACAACGCTGTATACCAGTGATTTTCAATATATGTGGGGAAAAAATTCTGAGACATTTCTTTTGTGTTGCACAAAAAAAATAATAAATTACAGAATTTTAATTTTTCATTAAAAAATCAACTTATCTCTGTCTCTCCATGTGTAAAAATTAACAAATAGGAAAACACATTAAGGATAGGGATGTTTTCCTTTTGATATAGTGTTGTGCAAGAGCAAACTGAGAAGTTTGCCTAGTGCCAAGTAGGATGAATGCATTACTTACAATCACAAAAATGCCTTTTGGAATTTGGCCATTGTCTGAAAAAACAAAGACCTGAGTTCTCTATTCACTTCAGAAAGGAAGTTTTCATCATGCTAACACCTGCTCAGCTTCATCAATAGTGTTAACAAAAGAAGAGAACATGTAAGCAAAGTATGGACATTTGTAGAAACATGAGCTCACATGTGAGATTAATGTAATTGAAACAGAACGGGGCGTTTTTGCCTTTAGCTCTGTCTCTGTAGAAACAACACACAAATTGTTATAACTTTCATCCTCCATCTACCATTAAGCAAACAGTTATCTCTGTTTAAAATAAAAAATCGCATACATTGCCACTGCTAATATCTAACATCCTACTACATGATTGTTAGATGTGATGAACAGCTATGTGCTTGTAGAGGACTAAGTTGTCGAGGCTTTGTTTGAAGTGATCAGGCTGTTATGTGTCTGCTTCACATGACAGATGTCATGGCTTGCGCAGTTGTGTCAAAATCTGCCCATTCTATGTCAGATTTGGTATGCCATATGCACATTACATAATACAGAAAGTCTGTCATCGCTAACGCATTCCACAACCCGATACGATCATATCCATCATCTGCATTAAATGCAAATGGGGCAAGGCTGTAGTGTCGCTGGAAACCTCTACTAGCCGTCTGTTTGGTTACCTCCTGTGACCTACTTTAGCTGTACTGCATGTTAGTCTTTGTCATTAGTATTTGGAGTCCTCATTCCATGGCCATCAGAGGTATGATATTTTCGTTCTCAGTGTCATATCGAGTGGACTAAAGTCCAGGATGTGTGCCACAGTTGGGGCAGGAAGTTTGGCGTTTGACTATGAGGTCAGTTGGTAATAATGAATGTAGATGTTAATGTGCTGTAATGACCTTCTCTGTCCACATCTCAGAGGCTCTCTTCAGGTCTCCTGTGCCCATCATACCGGACCTCTGTCAAGCCACCCTACAGGGCACCCACACTGATGAGACTCATGCTGGCGACGGTGCTTTCAAAATGACACACTTGGCCGCATTAAACCTTTGCGTGATAAGTTGCTTTTGCTCAGTGGGCAGAGAGTGTTATAGGGATGTTTCAGGTTCAATACAAGTTTTGCTTAGTTACCACAGAAAATAATTTCAACTTTAAGAAGAAAAAAAAATGGTTACAGTATCATTAATGCGGCTGTTAGCATACACAGCTTATAGCCATAGTATTTAAATATTGTACAGTACCATTCAAAATTTGGGTTGGGTAAAAAACAGCAATGTTGTGAAATGTTATTACAATTTAAAACAACTATTTGAATATAGTTTAAAATGTAATTTCTGATTTTTTCAGAAATTTTTGAATTGAATTTTTAAATTAATTTTTCAGCTGAATTTTTAGCAACCATTACTCCAATCTTTAGTGTCATATGACCCTTCAGAAATCATTCTAATATGCTTAAGAAATATTATTATCATTGTTGAAAACAGTTGTGCTGCTTCATTTTTTATTTTTTATTTTTTGGAAACCATGATTATTTTTGCAGAAGTCTTTGAATAGCAATTTCAAAAGAACAACATTTATTTCAAATTTAAATCTTTTGTAACAGTATAAATGTTTAAAAATGTTTTAAAAAATCTTACTGATCACAACATTTTGAACAGTAGTATACCTGTTAATATGGCACTTATGCAATAGAATTGGTAGTAAACTCAGCTTTGTTATATGCAGGTATATACAGTCTTTAAATTTTGTAGTCATGTCAATGAAATTCCAGTAAAGCTCTAGTCACGGTAGTAAAGGTTGTTGTACTTTTTTCTACTATCATTTGATGCAACTCGATCCAACTTGAGTTGTGCCAAAAATGTAGTGTACTCAGTGGGTTAAATATTTGCTATAATCGGCAAATAAAAATGACAATCTGAACAACTCTACAATTCAAAGAATATAAATAAGTAGTAATAAACATTTTAAAAATAGATACGAATAATAATAAAAATGGACTTGGCCCTGGCATTGTTTACTTTAATTATAAGTGCCTCATTGTAACAACTTTCTTTTTATTTCTTTTTATTTTATTTATTTATTTATTTATTTTTTTTGGTGTTATTCAACATTATGGAACAAATTGTACATTAACATTAAGCTTAACTTGTAATAAACCCAGTTCCTTTAAGCTGTCTTGAGGCTCCCAGAAGAACTGCCCGAACTGCTGGAGAAAGTTTGCACGTCTCACATCACATGTAGCTCTCTCCACTTCTGAGCCGTCGCAACGGCCAACCTCAAGATCAATGGAATTTTTCATTAGCCTGGGAAAAAGAGACCGCTTGTGATTATTGCCAATAAAGGAAATTAGATGAAATGATTTTTGACTTTGATTTTCTTTCCTCCCTCTTTTCCCCAACCATCCTTTCACATTTAATCAAATGCAAGGTAAAAGTCATCACTGAAATTGCGCCTGATTTATAAATAAGCTAATTGGTGGCATTCTCCCTCTCCTGTCGGTGGACACGGCTGTGTTTTTATTGCCTAGTCAAAACCTCCTCGTGTAATTTTCAAAATGGCCCTCGAAATGAAATTTTCCTCCCAGCTTGCGAGGCAGCTCCATCGCTCATACCTTGCCGCAACCACCTTCTTGTCATCTCTTTAGTGCAGCTTTATGTAGCCTGGCTCTCCTGTCCACATCTGTTAGTTAATTCATCCATTGCGAAAACTCTTCCCTTGCACTTTTATCAATGGCTAATCTAATGGAGGTGAACTGTTGAGTGACTGCTCTCATTGATACTCTGTCTTTCTCAGGGTCGTTTGGAGAATAATAATGGCACCGTTTCATATTTGGATGGCCATTGATTGCTGCTGAATGCATATTTACTGAAATGGATACGGGATTAGAGCATTGCGTCTGAAACGACAACTTCAAAAGAGTGAACGGCGAATGCTCTGTGGACGTTTATTTTGTGGCTTTAACAGCTTTCTTTGAAGGTTCTTCCATTCAAACCACAATTTACCTATCTGTATTTGACTAACGCTTCCCGAACTTGTTTTCATCTAGATGAAAGTGCAGTCAAAATGCTCAAACACATGCACGCTTGTGTCCTGTACCCGGAAATGCTCTTAACACAGTTGAGAAGATAAAGAACCAATGAGAACAGAGGAAAAAAAAGTTTTTGCTTTCTCTTCTCGTATAATCATTTATGACCGGTACACAACTAACTTGGAAAAAGTGGGCGGTAGAACTACACCCAACATTGTGGTGAGTCAAGGCGGCCATCTGTATGTAACTCAGAGAGAAACTCTCTTTACACTCGACTGCCTTTACAGCCCCCTTTGTTTTGAAGTCGATGAGTTCTCCAGCACTTGGTTGGAAGGATCCACGTATATTATAAACATATTGTGGGAAGTTGTGCTAAATCGGTTAGTAGTTCGTCATGTTGTATTGCTTCCCTACACCACAAAGACTTTTGGCTCACCGAAATACACATACAAGTGCCACTTAGGACATCCACTTAATTCAAGTCAATTTAATAATCTGTACTTATTTTATTTTATTTTTATTTTATTTTATTGAATTTTATTTTATTTTATCCAAATGTACCTTGTTACAGAGTAGCAATGTTAAATTATTTGTTTTAAAAAAGGCTGTAAATAAATGAAGATCTTTCTGTAATGGAAGCTTGCATCAGCAGCCTAGTGTTTACTGTTAATGATCTGCTCATTAATCTTTGGACAATTATATTGTATCTTGAACTGCTTTTGTAAATGTTTAGACTTTTTTTTTTTTTTTTTTTTACTTATTCATACCATAGTAAAGGTAGTCCCATATATCTTTCATTTTATAATGCTCACTTAAGGGAGTTCAAGGTAGGTTATTTAAAATTTTAGCAGTGCCTTCGCTTCTGCTCCACTGCAAAAAATAATAGTGCGTCAGTAAGCATGGGGGAATCTCGCTCTCAAGAAGCTAATTGGCTCGCGTCCATCACACAACCTACAATTAGGACTCGCGGTGCCGTGGAGGCAGCGCATGGGCTGTGCAGTCGCAGAGAATGGAGAAAGTGCTTTCTGCATTTTATGGATTGCTTTTGGCAGTGAATTATGTGAAAATGTGACTTGTTTTAACTTCTTTAACTTGTAATAATCGTCGTGGTTGCAAAATACATCAGTCCGGTTGTGTGCTCGACATATTTTAAGACCAAGGAGAGAGAAATGCCACATGAGGCCCCTTTTTTCTTTTTTTAAATGTGGTTTTAGTTACCTTTTTTGTTTATTTTGCTCAAACATGTAATGTTCTGACTGGTGTTGCCTATGAATTATTTGCTCCTTATGTTGTTTTTCGTTATAGAAATCAATGAAGGTTAGAGGAAAAACATCTTTGAATTAGGAATGTGTTTACAGTCATAGTGTGTTTTTTTTATTTTTTTTAAATAGTTTTTCCATAGTTTCTCTGATGTTGTTTTATAGGGCTTTTTCCCTTTCGTCCTCAGATTCCTCCCTGCACACAAACGTCTCAGACATTCAGTGCGGTGTGATGATATCCACGCTCCGGCTACTCAAAGCCACGTTCAAACATCAGCTCCAAGGTAATGCACTGTAGCACTGAAGACTATTTATGCAACAAAATGGCCAAGATTGCTTCTTGAGAAATTATGACAAAAGTGACCATGAGTACATGATGGAGGCTTAACTAATGACCTTATAATAAACCCCTGCAGTTGTCCAGAGCTCACAATAGACTCGGAGCCATCTGAGAAGATTGTCAATGTGGCAGGACCTCAGCAGTCCCTGGAGCCCATGAGTGTCACAACACGTCAGGAGACGTTGCAGATTCAGCCCAAGTCTCGTCCGTGTGGCGATGAGAGAGAGAATCTTCAGCCACTCCACATAGTCTGGCCACATCGCTGGTAGGACCTTCATGATAACATTAGAAACATTTATTCATCAAGAGTTCATTTAACATGCATTTATTTATAGAAATTTTGATTTAACAAAATACTTTTAATATTTCACTCGTTCTTTTCATTATCTTTTTTTTTTTTAACTGACCGATTCTTCATTTATAATTATAAGGAGTTTTAGTTTCTTCAACTTTGTGCACTTTAGATCTTGTGGACTTGCAATATATATATATATATATATATAAAAACATATACATACAGGTGCATCTAATACACGAGTTTCACAATTTGAGTTGAATTACTGAAATAAATGAACTTTTCCACGACATTCAAATTTATTGAGATGGACCTGTATATGCATATACATATACATATAATGTGTTAAAACAAACACTCCCACATCATTTGAGTTTGATAACATTCTGTGGTTGAATGACAGAACGTTTTTGGCATAAAATAGATGACTCTTTGTTATGCTAATGCTAATTTCATATCTTGCATTTTTTCATACTTGAATACACAGAAATTTCAGACTTTTATGAATTTGTTTAAAAATGCATTTTCACACAGTAAACCTATCCATTGTTTTGAATGAGCCCTGCTCTGCACACGCTCTGCATCTCTCTCTCTCTCTCTCTCTTGCTCTCGCTCTCTCTCTCTCTCTCTCTTGATATTAAAAGATAACAGAAGCAGTAGCATTTACAAATAACAGCGCATCTAAAAGTATGAGACAGTTTATAAGACAAAAAATCTTGGGCCTACCATTAAAAGCCGTGCTTGCAGAGGTTCTGCGCGATCCTCTTCAATAATATCCTCTGCGTCTCAATTAATCAATCAGAGCCCATCGTGTATTTCTGAGGGAGGGGCTTCATAAAAGCAGGAAATGATCAGCGCGTTCAGAGGAGAAGGGACAGAGCAGTGTGGAATAAAGGTAAATTATGTGAAAAATAATTTTTAACAAACAAAGCATTAACACATGTTAAACTGCACCCCATAAACACAATCAAGCCTATAAAAAAACCAGTCAACCACCCCTTTAAATTGTTTATAATTATTTCTCTCTTTGTTTATAAATCACAGAGTTTAAAATATTATTTTTCCATTAACTTTTGTAAGATTGAAAATCTGAGATAAGGGTATAACAATAAAATGTATCTGAAAAGTTGCAAAAAATAAATTACTAAGGCATCATAAATAGTTTCTATGTTTTAAGTGATATTTAACAAAAAAAAGTCCTGTTTGTTTTAATAAAAATCAATCCATCATTCCAACATAAAAGTGCCTATAGTTGAAGTGACATTATATCATACAATTGTAGAAACAGCAGAATTCTAGAAAAAACAATTCTAGATGACTGTTGATCATTTTCATGCAGAAATATTTTTTGATCCATAGTTGTTGTTTTTTTTTTTTACTTTTATTTTTCCCACTAAACTATGCACTCACACAGAAATGCAATTTGAGGACCTTGTTTCTCAGCAGACTTCAAACATGTGCGCCATGAAAGTGCCTCAAACATTAACCTGTAATACAACTGTGAGTTATTTGCTTTGGACTGTCAAGGGAATTGTTTGACAGTACGGCAGAGGCATGGAAAATGGATAACATGCTTGTTTTGGTACAACATGCATAGATAGACCACTGGTTCGAAGCAGTCCTAAGCGTGTAACTTGGCCACCGACCCCCTGGATGCTTGTGTAATATATTTCAGCATCATCTCATTGATTCCCAAATTCAGTCTTGGCGAAAGCCACTGTTAGAATATTATCAGTGACATCGGTGTTTGATTCCTTTCAAAAAAATTTGAAAAACAGAACCCCAACTGCAGAGACGGCAACAGAAGAAAATGTCTGTTGCTGAGTTTTGTTCACAGGGGCCAATGGGGGAGGGATGAGAAAATATTTTATTGCGCGCAGGATTGCTCTGTGGTTTTTGTTGAAGTTTAAATATCTTCCACTCCCCATATTTTAGACCTCGTCTTGGCATGAGTGGAAACCAAACAGCATTGTATCTCTACCTCATCTGCCATGGACTGAGAAAAAAAGAAAAAAAAAGTAACTGTTGCTCAAGCCACATATTTCTCCCATGACTCTTTGCTCATCTCTTGGCAGCAATGACATGTTTCCTTACCAAAAAACACCCATAAATCAGATTAACAACCGAAAAGACCACCGGTGTCGAAGTTTGATGCTGGCACAGGGATTTTGTGATGTTTGTTTGTATTATGTATCTGTCATTCACCTACTCTTGTATCAGTAACAAAAGCGGCCATTGTGTAATCTCTTCAAAACTGAGCAAAACACAGATGGATTAGCGCTGTTAACATCCGTGCCTCGTAAACGTTGGCTTTGGTCCGAGTTAAATTGGGATTTACACAGGGCGAGAGCTGCTGGAAAAATAAGAAGGGGTTTGGATTATCTCTGACAGTGTGTCCCATTTCATCCTTTTTTCCAGCCTCTCTTTTTGTCATCATCACTGGTTGCAGATTGTTAATCTCCATGTGGCCTGGATAGGCCTTCATCCGTTGGATTACAGGACTGTCTTATTGCAGGCGCTGACCGGGGCGTATGGTCAGAGAGGGCAGCTGTTTGCAGGTGCATGTGATGAGGGCTTAAATTTGCTTCCGAAAAGCCCATTTACCTAAGAGGGCAACCTTGTTCTTTCAAAAAAAAAAAAAAAAAAAAATGCAAAGACAGTGACTATAGTACACCATCAGACAGTCACATGGCCTGGCATGAGCTTTCTCTCTGCTGGACCTTTGTCTTTCAGGCGATCATTCTCCGCAATTGCGCAGTGTTTTGTTATTTTTTCTTCTGTGGCTTGTCTTGAAATCCAGACACATTTGTGCATCTCTCGTTCCTCCCAGACTGTGCAGCAGGCACTAATGACCAAGTAAAAAAGACGCAGGCACTGACGCATCACCACGCTGTGCTGGCAAGCATCATGACTGGTTCCACAACTCCTCCTGTGCCCTGCTCCATGTGGGGCCGTGCCGCCGAGACCCCCATTAGAGAAGGATGGCGCTTGGAAGGACATGATATGTTGGAATCTTGAAAACGGCACAAAGGATTTAAACCCGACTTGCGAGCGAAGGCAGAATTCCAGAAAATTTTTGACTTTTGATGTTTGCACACAATTAAAACCAATGAATCCGGGTCATGTTAGAGTAGAGAAGTGGAAAACAAGTCGTTTACTGACAGTCAGAATGTAACCAAAGACATCAGCCCATACATTTTCACATCCATTCATGTATAGTTAGTCCCTTATTAGGATCCCAGCACGCAGCCGTCCCTGTGGAGGAGCGGCTAGAATAGTCGACACGGTCATGGTTTGTTTTGTCTTGTTTTACTGGAGGCTTTGCCTTTGCTATTTTCAGCTGACCCTAATCAATCCCCAGATAACCAAATCCTGGGCTTTCAAGAGCCCCATTAATTAGCCCTTTCGCTTCCTTCTGATTTGAATCCTTTAACGTCATGCTTTTGCAGTAAATAGAGTTTGAATTTTAAAACATGCACCTCATGGGTGCGACTTAAAGGGGAATATTTAATCATAGCTGTCTAAATGAGAGGATCATATTCTTTTAAGTGGTACCGGATGACTGCTAATGAGGATTCGCAGGGTCCCTGCAGAACCCTTTTTTTGTATTTGTTTTATTTGGTTTCTGTCTCATTGCATTCGGAGGTCAAAGGTTAAGAAAAAAAAACATTTTAGTATTGGGAAATAAGACATATTTATGACTTTAAAAAAACAAATAAAAACTTTTGGACATTTACACTACCGATCAAAAGTTTAGGATAAGTAAGATTTGATTTCATTTATTCATTTTTTTTTAATAAAATAAATTGTTTTTAATAAGCAAGGATGCAGTAAATTGTGTCAAAAATAGAAAGTGACAGTAAAGAAATGTATAATGTTACAAAACTATATTTAACTTTTGAACTTTCTATTCATCAAAGAATCCTGAAAAAAGTATCACAGCTTGAGCACCAAATCAGCATGTTAGCTGTTTTGGTATTACAGGAATAAAATGTTAAAATATATTAAAACAGAAAAGTTATTTTAAATATTTCACAATATTACTGTTTTACTGTATTTTTGATCAAATAAATGCAGCCTTAAGAGACTTCTTTCTAAATGAAGCATTGCCAGTGACCGCTGTGAAGCTGCTTTTACAGACCCTAAAACTTTTGAATGGTAGTGTGTGTACAATTTCATTTAATTCAGTTAAATTTTTAAATAACTGTATAATATATTTAATACATATTTTATAATAAATAAAGTAAATACATTTATTTTATTATGTATGCTGCTTAGAAAGTTACATCTGGATTGTTTTTCTGATTGTTTTCCCCATACTAGCAGTATCATCTCCCTAAACTTTATTTGGGTCATCCGTAAGTTTGCCATCCATCATCAACATCTGCATTTAAAATGCCCCTTAAGTGTAGCTCCTAGAAATGCGTCTAATAATTAATCACTAATATGTTTGTGTTGTATACTTATTAATCTGCATCAATGCCGAGTGCATGTTAGTGAACTCATGTTTACGTGCATCTGTTCGGGTCTCCTCTCTTACAGTTTTAGCTTGAGAGGCACGTTGAGCCCCAGCAATCCCTGCATAACATAACTGACATATTAATTAACCCTCCGCTATGCTGTCAGTAGGAAATAAGGCATCACGGCCACATGAAGGCTGTTTTAGTTACTAGACTGACAGGCCGGGTAATAGGCATCCCTGCAGTCGCCATGTCACCTCCCCGCAGGTTAACCAGTCTTAGTCCAGAGGAGGTAGCAATCACATCCACAATGTAGTGAATCAAAGAGGCTGCAAAATTAATGAGGGAATCAACGTCAAGCCATGGGGGAAAGGCAACATAAAAGAACCGGAAATGAGAGGAAATAAGCCCTCACTAATACCTCATCTAAGGAGATTCCACCCAAGTGGGAGGTGTCTTTTGTCAAAGCGCTTCTGCCCCGGTAATTGTTTTTGACCTTCAACATCGTCATTTTTGTGAAGAGAGCTCTTTCTTAGACAGTATACAGAACGGCAGTGCTGATGAGCTCAGAGATTTATCAAAGCCTCTTTTGTGCGACGTGTATGAGCTCTGTAAGGCCGTTGTTCGGTAACATACCTCCGCTTTATCAAGAGGATGAGCCACATGGATCACCACTCGACTGTCAGGGTTTTGAAAGGACTTCAGGCCCGCAGTTTGGGCCAAAGAGAAGGATTTCAAACCCGTGCGTTGAGGGTCGTTGTATTCAGAGGGAAGCTTCTTCATCAGATGTGTTGTTAGCATGTAGGTTATGTATGCTAGTCTTTTTGACTGCAGAATAAAATTGGGGCTGTGTCTCGCAGTGGATGATATGCACTGAGGGGTTTGTGCACCTACTTTTTTAATAGAAAGATTGTGGTCAGTTGATGGAAAGTGTGTTATTTCTGCCCTAACATTTTAGGCACACTTTATCAAAACCTAAAATAATCATGAAGCTCAATTAACAATCAACAATACAAATTTGTAATTTTTTTATTTTATTTTTTATTTTATACATGTACATATGACTGGGAAAGAATACTCACTGAGCTTATCATAGTCTTCTCATTTAAATAGCATTTAATAAAACATTCTTTGAAGTACTCTTAATTTAAACCTGTAAAGTGTGCTTTGGATTTAAAGGCACACTTCAGACTTCAGAGTGAACTATTTTTGATGTAATGAAGCATTGCCAGTGATCACTGTGAAGCTGCTCACCAGCTCTCTTGGCTAGGCTCAGAACTTTAATGGAAGCACACCAGCAATCAGCGGCCTGGCTGGATCACAGTGACAGAACATGTGGCCTCAGCTTCAGATGTGTAATTAAGGTATACGAGCTGGGATTCGAAGTGGAACTTTCAGAACTCTTACCACGCACCTCAAATCTAAATAAGTGTATTAGCGTTTCCATTTGTATAAACGTTTCTGAGAAATCAAAATTGAAAATGTCAAACACTGAAATTTCATCAGAGTTTGTTTTATCACATCACAGATTTTTACCTTTTCTCAGTATGTTTTGTGTTATTTCCACAATAACATCTGAACATATGGGTAAACATACAAAAGTTGAAAGTCATTTAAAAAAAAAAAGTGGGCTTCTGGCTACAAAATCTGTGTGGATATTTTTGGGTTGCAAAAATAAAAACATTAGTTAAATAAAGATACTTATTTTACTTTTTGTCAAAGCTAAAGTTCACTTATTAACAGGGTTGCCAGGTCTGTGAAACAAAACTAGCCTATTTTTTTCCATGGTTTTCCTCTCCATCCGGGGTCCCCTCCATCAAAATTGCTTTCTGAGGGGGAAGAGATCCCTTTAACCATCAAACTAAAAAACAGGCTGCATCAACAGTAGCTGTGTTTCCATCCACCTATTTTTATGCGCATTTTGGAATATCGCATAAAAAAAAACGCTAGATGGAAATGCCAAGATGCACATAAATTCTAAAAATGCGCATAAAAAATTATGTGCACATTTGAGTAGGATAAACTTTTTATCCAATAAGAAAAAATTAGCATAAACTATGATGGAAACATTTACCGTATAAATTCCTCCATTCCTCGAAAAAGTCATGTGACTGCGCTTTGAGACGGGATAATTTGTCTAGCAGCGGACCGATCGCGTTCACAGCATCTATATGTTGTTATGGTCATTCTGAAATGCCTGAGCAAAGTCTGTGGTCAAAGTATTTCTATGTAATTGTCTTACATGACTACGCTCCCAAACAGCAGCATCCACCTCCAAAAGCATTGACAGCATTTATTGTTACGTCTGCTCGATCTGAGGTGCAAGTAATTTATGTCATATATGAAAATTATTATATTCAGTGGCTTCTCCTATATTCTTAGTGATATTTAGTGCCACAGTTGACCAGGAAGTGACGTTTTTGTTCTCTTTGACTCATTGGATGGAAACGGTGCTTTATTCGCATATGTTTTATGCGCAGGGCCATCCTTAGGGGGGTGCAACTGGTGCGGTAGCACCGGGCTCCACGGCGAACGGACCGAGGGGGATGGACCCTCGGCCCCCACAACCCCCCCACCCCGGAACGCGGTCGCAAACGGACCGAGGGGGGCCCCGCTCCCTACCTCGCACCGGGCCCCGCGTCAGCTAAGGACAGCCCCGCATAAGTTTAATTCGAATCTTTGGATGGAAACATAGCTAGTGTAAAAGTACCCCAATTCTAGGGAAAAATTCGCAGACTTGTCAACACTGCTTACTAAACAAAACTCTCTCTATATATTCAGCTTCACATTAAAATTGTTTTATTTATAATTGTATTTGTTGAGATCACCACAACCTTCAAGAAACAGCTGAGGATGCTTCCATTTACACCTTAAATTAATCATAAACCTAAACCTAGACATGTCTTATGTAAAAGAAAACTTGTGCTCTTATCTTACTTGGTATTGACATACTATGCATATTGTTGACTCGTGTATGAAATGGCTTGTGATGACTGTCAGCTATATGATTAAATGTTAAATATGACGGGTAGTGGTTTTTATTTTCTACACTTTATTTTGAACTCTCTTTTGGTAATATTTTTGTGACTTTCCTGCTGCTAATTACTTTGCAATTAAACTATTGTTTCCAAATGTGAAATAGTGTTTTGTTTCTGCTGTCTCTGTCTGGCTAAAGGGAACATGACAAAGACCCACAGCTGTTCTTCCAGACCTTACTGAAACTCAAAGAACGACAGCTGAGCTTTGAAGTTTCTGTCCTGGGAGAGACCTTCACTGACGTTCCAGGTACATCATGTGCTGTGGGGATTAGAGACGGGGATATAATTAAACAATTATAATGTGATATTGCTTTTATTCAACAGTTCTTTCAGACAAAATATTCCAGTTAGTTAGCCATATAATTTTTTTCTTCACCAGAATCTGCTTGCTTTATTTATTTATTTACTTACCTTTCTGTTCCTACTTTTTTATAGAATGATTTGGTTGGTTGACACCTCTGATGTCATGCACAAATGTAATTACATGTTTAACTTTGAAACAAATTTGTTAAGTACATCGCTTTAGGTTCAAAGATCATCTGTTTATTGCACACAGGCAACATTTTCATTGGCAAAATACACTCCCCATTAGTGGACAATTATGTTTTAATATCTTTCGGACAGTCTTGAGTATTTATGGCGTTGTGTTCATTTCATTTATGTGCCCACACAGTCTAACGCTGCCAAAGCTAGACTTACAGGAAACACAATCTCTTATATTGAGATGCAAACTTTTATCACGGCATAAACAGCTGCAGGACCAAAAGAAATAAACAGATCGTAAAGGTTGCTCATGTTATGAAATTAGGTTTACGATTGCTCGGAAGGCAATCATACTGAAACGGTTTTAATCTATTTTGATTTTGCTAATAGAATCACATTATTGATTATTTGTGCCCTTCTCTGTTTTATGTCCAAATTTATGATGACCTTGCTTATTTTATCTCCTCACAAAATATGACCCAAACTTTATACATCCCTCTCTCCGCTAATCGCTACACATCGATATTGAGGCTTCTGTCCCTTTCTCCGTTCCTTCCCACTATAGACATCTTTTTAGAAGCCAAAGAACAGTTGGTTGACCACATCCAGCACTGGGGTTTCATGCCCAGTAAGGAAGATTACCTCAAAGCGCTGTGCCAAGCAGATGTCGTCGTTTCCACGGCCAAGCACGAGTTTTTCGGAGTAGCAATGTGAGTTTCATCTGCTGTCTGTCACAGAAATATGTTCTCTCCAAACAGAAAGGCACCACAATGGTTTATATATGTTAATGTATTAGCAGAAGCTTCGTTTGCTGTTTTTATGAAATTTCGAAAAAACTTGAATTTAGTCATTCGTATTAGTAAATTACCACAGACTTCATAGTAACTTCTGTTTGTTTCATAATGTGGATGCAGAAAGTCTTTTCAATCATGTCACATTTTAACGTGAGGATTACCTTGAGTATGTAAATCTCCAAAGAAAAAAAGTTCATGGCGTAATTGAAAGGTTGCGTTCAATCCCAGAGGCCTGTGTCCTCTCTATCTGGGGGGTGTTTCACTGTCAGGAGGGTACTGCATGTGTTTTGGAGGGACCTTTGAAAGCATCACCCTTGATGTGTTCAGCATCGCCTGAATCAGTATCTTCAGTCACCTGTGCTTGACTTTTGAAGAGTTTGTTTGATCATGCCCAGGGCCAAGGTAGCACTGATCCAAGTGCACTAGCAGGGGCTCGTTCTACACTGGGGAATTCACTCATCCTTGTTCTGTAGACTAAATGTATACATCCTATTAGATGACAGAATTGATGAATTTTCTGGGCCATGATATCGATTGGATGGAAACATCCTTTGCTTTGCGGGGTAACGGTTTAAACATGCACTCCCTCTGGGACTCTTACTACATACGGCTGAGGTTGTTCTCGATTTCATTAGATTAAAGTCCAGTGGAGAGGAGGAATAAGGAGACTCCTCAGCTGTGTGTGTTTTACATTTATGTCCTCAGGCAATGTGTGTGTTCAAACACTGATCAAACACCTGCTGTTGGCTTTTCTTAATAATGGTTAACTTCCAAAAAACATCTCATTTGAGTAATTAAGACTATGATGTTCCTTAACTATGAGCACACCATAGTTAGAGAATTGTCTTTATGTACGTAATGAAAACACTTTAGATTAGGAAACACTATTCACTATTAACTAGTTGTTTATTAGCATGCATATTACTAGCATATTGGCTGTTTATTTGTACTTAAAAACACTTATTCTGCATGACTCTATTCTAGATCCATTAACCCGACCCAAATAAAACTACAGCAACTACCGTACTATCAATTTAGCAGTACTTAGGAGTTTGAGGAAAAACTCTTAGTTAATAGTGAATGTGTTCCCTATTCTAAAGTGTTACATAACATTGTGATGATTTTTTTTTTAAATGTCTAATGCTAATAGCTAGTTTATTATATCTCATAAATACATACAAGTGAATTCACAGTTCACAATTGCATTGTTGAACAGCTTTGATTACAACTTTGTGTGAAATCGTGTACAATGAAATAATTTATTAGATTTATTACATTAAATATTTGGATACATTTTATGATAGATTTTAATATAAGTCTGGGACAAGGGTAAAACAATAAAATCTTTACATAATACATTTCAAAAGTATCAAAAAAAATAACTGATGAAGAAATGATAAAAAGTTTGAGATGTTTTAATGTGGCCTTCATATAAAAAAGAAAAGAAAAGTTAAAATCTGTTATTTTTAATAAAAATCAGCCCCAGGACATAAAAGTGCCTGGAGTTGAAGAAACATCCACTTTCTAAATCAATTTTGCTACAAAGAACTGATGACATGAGAAAGAGGCCGTAAGACCTCGGAACTCGAATCACCTGCTCAAATGCTTTTGACGATCAGTCCTTGCTTCTCATTGGTCAACTCCGTGCCACGCAAGGGGAATTTTTTTCCACCATGTTCTGTCCTCGTTATTGTGGAAATTAGCCTAATCTGATTAATTGTCAGCAGACGCCCATCCGTGCCCTCCAGAAAAACAGTAAGGCAGCCAAGCAGAATGATCGCCTAATTATATTTGAGATGAAAAGCCTGATAAGCATTTGCACGCTCACACATTAACTGCATTGACATGGAACTGACCTTAATCAGTTTCATACGACGGGCTGTGTCATAGACTCCAGCCGAGCAACTTTGATTTACTGTGTTCACTGTGAATTTGATCAGGGAAGGGGATGTTGACGTTGCAGAGTAGGTAATACTACACTAAACCTTCACTTTCTGGTGTTTGCTCAAGGACGGTGACTGTTGTGCTTTTGTTTTGCTTTTTCCTTTGTAGAGAAATTATAGGTGATGTGTTCTTTTTTTGTTTTTCTTCCAACTGGTTTATAATTTGTTGGAATAAAGAGATGTGAATAAAAGTGGATGTTTTATTGCTTTTGTGCGAGTAGAGAATGCATTGGACTTTTTAGCATGTGTCTGCTGGCAAGTGATGACTAGATTATTCAGAATACAGGGGTATCAAGATCTGTTTTTAAAAGTTGAACTAATTTTAACTTAACATGGCATTTTAAAAATGAAGATTTATCACATGTGAAAACATTTAAACAAAGGTGCAGACAGATGCAAGATAGCGTGTGAGGTCAGGTATGTTGCCCACCTTTAACCAAAACTGCTTGATCATCCATGATTCCTGCAACTGCAGGATTGTGCTCAAAAAAAGAAAGAAAGAAATATATATGCTTTGTTTTCTTATGTCACAGATCGGAAGGTTTAGCATTCTATAAGCGTCCATTAAATATGTAACACTACAAACCACTTTGAAACACAACTTTGTGATTCTGAGACGTTTTCCAAATCCACAGGATTGTTTGAGGAGATTTGTCCCAATGCTCAAACAGAATTTTGAAATTTCAGCCGTGAATGGCAAGAGGGCTAATCGGATATTAAAATATGCATGGTTTTAGCATGGGAAATGAGATGAGGATCTGATGGTGAAGGGAGAGATGGATAGACTCATTAAATATTAATACTCATTCTACAAAATATTTAAACAGCCGGTCATTTCCACAGCCAGCAATAAGAGTTCAAATGAGTTGAATCAGTTGGGAGCAAAGTTTGCCCTAGATTGAACTATTTGATGAACTAAAAGCATGAGATGGTGTGTAAAACTATGCCATAGTTATGAGGTAGCATTACAAGAATGCATTAGGTATTTGAGTTAGTAAAATGATTTGAAATGCTTTGATCTGCTGTGTGTAACGGTTGATATTGATCAAGGTGTAGTACAAGGTGCCGCTTTATCCGGCGGGTGGTAGGTTGAAAAAATAACCTTCCCTCATCCAGTTACAATGACTTTCTTCAGTAATGGCAACTCTTTTGGTTTGTAGTCAGCTTTATAGCGCTGAACTTCCATGGTGCTGTTTTAGAAATTGCTTATTGGGGAAATGCATCCAAGTCATTTCAATACATTTGGTCAATACAGTACACTATGGAACTGAATCTTAAATGACGTAAATCTTCTCTTTCAGGTTAGAAGCGGTCCATTGTGGTTGTTACCCTCTGTGTCTGAAGGCTTTGGTCTATCCTGAAATATTCCCTGGTAAAAAAAAAATCTTTCATTTTCATGATTTGCCTAGCTCAATTTCATGTGCAAAAGAAGATTTATTGTCACAGGCAAAGCTGCTATGTTCAACTTCTGTGTAGAATGACGTATTCATCTTAAAGCACAGTCGAAGAATTTGCCATAAACCATTCTGGCATTTGTATATAAATAAGTAAATATAACCACAGTTCAATAATGTACAGCATCACGCAGCATGGTGTCAGCTGAATTTTTAATGCTGAAAGTGCCTGCGATCTCATCTGCTCTTTGAGGTTTCTGACTTATCAAATATGTATTTTCCTCTTGTAGCAACATATCTGTATTCAACACCTGAACAGCGGTGTAAAAGACTACAAGACTTCTGCAAGCGTCCGCAATTAGTCAGACACCATGTTACTCAGGTAAACAATGTAAATTTTTCTGGGAGTCAAATCAACCGCAAAGACTCCTACAGAGAATTCTAACATGTGTAGTGCTTTTTAGTCATACAATACTGCGAATAAACATTCATCCACGATGCTAATGCATGACTAGTAATCAAAAATCTAAAAATGTAGCCTAAATTATTTTGTGCTATGAAGGTGTACTACAAATCAGTTAAGATGAGCTCTTCATTCCATTGTAGAGGTACAGCAAGATCAATAAAAGCCATTAACTGGTGGGCCGCAAGTCTGATAGAGAAAAAAAAAAAACAATGCTACACACAAATATTCAACTCTATAACATAAAATCCTCTCTACCTCTCGGCTATTATTTAGGAAAAACATGTATATGTGATTTTAATGTTCTCATGCCGGAAAAAAGCAACTTTATATTTGTGGTTAATGGAAAAAAAGAACAATCAAAAAACCTGAAACCGCTTTCGTGTTGCGCCTAGGCGGGCCCACCTCATATTTCGGTTCATATCCATTTTTATCCTTTGTGCCGGAGGACTCCAGCCTGGAATTCTGGAGTCTTCGGTTCCCACTCCGACAGAGCGGCAGCCAAGTTGCGGCTTGAAACGTTGTGGGCTCTCGCTCCACCTGAGGTTGCCAGGTTGTGACAAAGTCCCCCGAGGCTCAGTAAAGGTTGATGCAAGGCTTCCCCAGGACTGTGGTTGAATCTAAATATGGTTATTTTATTTTCCTTGCGTCGGAGATCTGGCTGTACGTTGTAACCGGGAACCCGCTGCATAATTAAGGGGGCATGGTAACTAGCTATTTATATGTTTTTGCAAAATGTAAAATCTGGCAAACTAACAATGGCCTGTCAGATTTTCCATTAAGATGTAAGTGTCTGCTTTCACATCACAGCAATGCCACAATCACACGGCCCACTTCAGGCCTGCCAACATATGTGTTATTAAAAGAGGTCTGACTTTTATTGCAAGAGTTATTGAAGGATTCCTCCTTTATTATCAGACATTCTCGCAATAAAGCTGTGGACTTTCTGACGTTATTATTTCAGATGTATCGATTATTCAGGTGCATCGGACGGAGGATTCAAATTAAAGGCTCAAATATAATCACGTCGCCGTCTCCTCGCACGCGTCCGAGATTAGTCTCATTACTCCTCATTAAGTAGCAGTGCTTCCTTTACAGCTCATAGAAAAATAATCCTAATATCCTACCTCCATATGTAATGTATTTCATATTTTAGGGGGTCAGTGAGATACTTTTGTGTGCCGTATGATATTTAGCGTGATTTATCCAAGCATTATCGCTTCTGATTTCCCTCTTTTTGTTCATCCTTGGGTTATTTATAAGGAGCATATGGATGCGATTGACCTGTTTCCACCTTATCCCACAATGTCAGATGAATTTGCCATCTACTCCGGGCCGACCTGAGGTCAGGACCTAATGACGCCATAAAGCCTATAACCTGCTGTTTCGGCACAAAATGTCACCCCACATATTAAAAGTTAATAGCAACCTCTATAAAACTCAGAGCACATTAAACCATTTCATTGGCCTGTTGCTGTTTTCTCACTGATGGTGTTCTAGGGATATGAAGCTAATTTAATGCCGGCCGAATTCGATGGCAAAACAAATGTGCGGTCCTCTTAATTTTTCTTCTCCAGTTCATGTTTGGTGTCCCACTGGAGTAGCAGAGTTTGGAGAGCTGCCATTCACATTATATGACTACATTTGTAGATATTTTAATATCTGACTGGGGAATCACTAAAGTGAATTTGATCTGATACAACTTCAGGTATAAGTACTCATCTGTTTAAGGTCAGCTTTGAGTTTATATATGATATTCAGACCTTTATCAGATAATGGTATCTCAATTATTAGATACTTGGAAGTGAAGGTAAGATTACTTTTAGCATTCTCTCAAGCATTTCGAAGCTCATTGCTGTAACCAGAACAGAATTTAGAGCTGCAACTCACTGCAAATGAAACGACACAGAATCATCACAGCCTCATCTGAAACCAGCAAAAGGATTTAGGAAATGGAAAATGGAAATGGCGCTTTAATGAGAACCCTCAAGTTCTGACTTGAGCAAAATTTAGTGGTCACAGTACAGTTTGAGCATGATTGTCACCAAATTAGGAAGGAGTTATTTTTTCATAAGCATTAATGTATTTATTTTAATGGTTTTCTAATAACTGTTTAATAAAGGGAATAATCTTATTTCAAACGTCTACCCTGTAAGTCAAGAGGGTAGTTTTTTTTTTTGTAAATTTGTTTGTAATATATATCACATTATATTGAGTGAATTTCACTAGATTGAAATTAGTGTCCCTTATCCATTTTTTTTATATATATTTTGTCAGAATGAATATTCCTTTAATAATAATAATAAGAAGAAGAACTATGTTATTATTACTATATATTATTATATTTTTAAATAGTTTACTTTCTAAAGCAAGGGAAGTACTTTAAAGGGTTTGTAAATGATTTGTTAGGAGTGGACTGATAAAAAAAAAAAAAGCTTTTATTTTCTCTTTGTGTGCTGCTTGATGCCAGTTTATTTATTTTAGTCTTTTTTTTCACACCAGCTCATGTTGTGGCACGCTGTCCAATTATACCATTACCAAGGGGGAAGTGTGTACTACTGTTTGTGGTCGTACAGTACGGTTGTGTGATTTTATCATTTGTTTATTTCTGAACACAGGATGAGAAAGAGGCCCTGAATGAACTAACAGGTAGAATGCGTCTCCTTTTTTCACTCTGAGTTCATATAACATTGCCCTGATCCCTGATCTTAAAGGAAGACTGGAGGAACGGATAAGCGAGAGAGAGAGACATAGTTGTCCTCATGTGACTCAGTCATATGCTATCAATATGCTGCCATGTTCTGTTGGAGCCCAGGCTCTTTTTAATGGGGCCTGGTGGTTATTTCAGAAAAAGAACATCATACCAACAGTAAAATATGGTGGTGGTAGTGTGATGGTCTGGGGCTGTTTTGCTGCTTCAGGACCTGGAAGACTTGCTGTGATAAATGGAACCATGAATTCTGCTGTTTACCAAAAATTCCTGAAGGAGAATGTCCGGCCATCTGTTCGTGAGCTCAAGCTGAAGCGAACTTGGGTTCTGCAGCAGGACAATGATCCAAAACACACCAGCAAGTCCACCTCTGAATGGCTGAAGAAAAACAAAATTAAGACTTTGGAGTGGCCTAGTCAAAGTCCTGACCTGAATCCTATTGAGATGCTGTGGCATGACCTTAAAAAGGCGGTTCATGCTCGAAAACCCTCCAATGTGGCTGAATTACAACAATTCTGCATAGATGAGTGGACCAAAATTCCTCCACAGCGCTGTAACAGGCTCATTGCAAGTTATCGCAAACGCTTGATTGCAGTTGTTGCTGCTAAGGGTGGCCCAACCAGTTATTAGGTTTAGGGGGCAAACACTTTTTCACACAGGGCCATGTAGTTTTGGATTTTGTTTTCCCTTAATAATAAAAACCTTCATTTAAAAACTGCATGTTGTGTTTACTTGTGTTATCTTTGACTAATATTTAAATTTGTTTGATGATCTGAAACATTAAAGTGTGACAAACATGCAAAAAAATAAGAAATCAGGAAGGGGGCCAACACTTTTTCACACCACTGTATATATATATATACTATATATGTAATAATAACACACACTGCCATTCAAAAGTTTTGTCAGTGAGATTTTTTAAAGAAATTACTTTTGTTTACCTAGAATGCATTATGCATAAATGTTTCTTGAGCAGCAAATCTGCATATTAGAATGATTTCTGAAGGATCATGTCACTGAAGACACTGAAGACTGGATTTGACAGAAAATTCAGCTTTGCCATCACAGGAATAAATTACATTAAAAAATATATTAAAATAGAAAACATTTAAATTGCAATCATATTCTTCAATATCACTGTATTTTTATAAAAAAATAAAAAATAAAGAGATGTTTAAAGAATCTACCCCGAAAGGTAGTGTATATAGTTTAAATTTATATTGGCAAGGTCAAAATCTGTGCAGCAAACAAACTGCGTAAAATACTGAAATAAATACTTTGGCCATTATTTTTTATGTTTTTTTTTTTTGATTCAGTCACTTCACACCACATTCCAAACACTCAAAATGCACCACACCTTTTCACAAGCCAATTTGATGGGAGACGTTAATTTTGCACATATTAATGAGCTAAGTACCACCTGCAGTACGACGGCTCTCAAAGTGTGAGCTGTGTTGCACAAAGCCCAGTGTCATGTGACCATGGGCTCTAGCACAGAATAAATCTGGGCGTTCGCTTCATGTACACGGCAAATATCTGCCAATATTCTCCCCTGGGTTACTTACCACTTCAGTCCATCCACCCACACATTTTGACTTCTTGTTATTTGAAGCATTTAATGCAAGAATGAACTCTACAGCATGGCCTCTCGGCTCTGCTTGGGCAGCTGGTGTTCAGTGCCTACTTTTGACCAAGGCGGTGTGAAATAAAACACCGCAGTGTACCGCTATCACGACATAAGTATAAAGTTTTTATTTGTTATTCAAATGTCATTTAAAAGACAATTTCCATCCCAATAGAGCAGTGTACATCACAGGGTGGATTTAAAGTAAGGCTTTGTCTGCATTAGAATCATAATCATGGCTGTCTGTACTTTTTATTGTGCTGTAATACTTCTGGGCTGCATTTCTTTAATTCTTTTTTTTTCTTCTGGATTTTCTTGTCTAGCATTGAAGTAAGCGAGCTTGTCTGGCATGTTAAACTTTTTTTAGGTGTCAAAACTAAACGACAAACTAAGCCACCACGTTCAATACAGGATCCAAGCTCTCTGTAAACTGTTTGTGGTTGGAGAAAAAAACGAGTATGTGTGTATCTTTTCAAAGGTTCTGCGATGAAGGTCTTGGTGGCCTGCCGAACTCGTTAAGGTCCCTGAGTGAAGCGCAGCTGTGCCAGAGAGGTCACTAAAAGCTGCATCTCATTTCACTGCGTTATTTTCAGTCGAGATTTAGAGAGACGCACAACCCGCAAATCTGGTTTATGTCGCCCTCCTGTTCCTCCAGTACCCCTTCATCATTACTGCTCGAGATGCCAAACTATGAGGGATCTGATGCAGGGAAAAAGCTACAAGGAGGGATGGCTCTTCCCGTAATTACAGACTCTCTCTTATCTCTGGGATGGAATTAAAAACACATTCCATGCAGACAGTCTCAGCACTGGCCTGCGGGAAGCAAATAAAAAGAGACTGCTGTTCGAGAATTGGAGAGGACTTTGGCAGTTTGATTAGAAACCGATGTGATCACGCTGTACGTTATCTGAAAATGCAAAGGGCCCACAGAGTGACAGAGTTTATGAAGGAGGCTGCAGGAAGAAGAGCAGAAAACTCAATGCAGCTTTTTTTTTTTTTTTTTACTTTTTTCAAAAACAAAATAATTGTACAAATTTTGCTTACAATAAAAAAAACAATATACGTACATCTACCATTAATAAAACACAACATCACAATATAATACAAAGCAAATACCTGTTGCAACAGACTGCAAGTATGTGCTGCCAGAAAATAATCACAAGTTTGCTATCTCAGGTTTCTGCCAAATAAAAGTTTGACAAAAAAAAACTGCCAGAAATCGCTTACAGCCAATTTATTTCAAACTAAAATTATCCATTAGAAAATATCAGTGTACAAAACCCATTTACAAAAAATGGGTTAATTTCCCTGTCACAAACGACCATGTATATCAGTACAAATATACAGCTTTTCAATTTTGCCAATGATGTTTTGAGGTATGATACAATGTGAGATTTGCATTATACAAAAATATAATTATATGTAAGTTTATATATAAAATTATAAATGTGACAATTATTTTTTATGTGAACCTTTTTTTTTTTTCAAGGAGCAAATATAAAAAAATCAGAAGCAAGAAACACACACACACACACATAATTTTTATTTCTTCATTTCTCACTCTTTTTTCCAGTCTCTTTTTCCAGAATACTCTGGGGTGACTTTACATGCCCTCCGGTCCAAAGATCTCCACACATTCAATGAGAATGGACTCCACCATTTGATTCTGATACACCATATTGACTTCCATGTTTCCGGATTCAAACTCGGGCCACATGAGAGTCGGTCCAAACACAATGCTGATGCCCTGAGTCGACATCAAGTTTTTCTTTGACTTCACCAAGACTCTGTAAAACAGAAAAGCAATACAATAGCAATGAATATAGTTTGTAAGTCTTGTGAAGATCCCTAATGGAAGAACTGACTACGGCGTACAAGTACAATCATTAAAGTGTGCATGTTTCCTGTCATAAAAACCTACTCAGATCGTCGGTGACGGACCATCGGCAGGGTGTTTTTGAGGACTTGTGCCTGGTCTTTGGAGGCACCTAAGAACACCATTTTAGTGGAATCTCTCTGAGCTGAGGTTTGGTTTTGGTGGAGAGACAATCAATACTGGGGTATTGGAGGACTCTTAGAAGGAGCCAGATTGGAGCCCTCTGGCTCTGTTATGAGTGAGGCCTGGAAAGGGGGGGATGGATTGTGGTGGAGAGCTTCCTTCCAAGTTGTCAACGGGATCCTGACTAAGAGGTGGGAAGCAGGCTTAACATTTAGAAGCACACTTTGTATGGTTTCACCGCGGCCCAGTTTTGAAAGGTACTGATTAGGAG